CCGCGCCTGCCAATTTGCAGATAAGGTGCTCATGCGCATCACTTCCAATTGCTGTATTTGCGAAAAATCAGTGTGCGTGTGATATGTGTGTTTTCTTCAACTCATGAATGAAGCCTCCTGCTCGAAACACTGGTGCACGCCTGTGGATGCCACCAGGCGTTGCAAGTCCCTGTTGAGATATTATTTATTCTCCCTGAACAGTTAAGATGACCGATTTCCAGCGCAATGTGGACCTGCACCGACAAAGTCCGCGAGTGTGTCTGCCACCCGAAGCAAATGTGCTGTGCTGAGGTGGTGTTGTGCATGAATATATTAATCTGCCCAATGGTTAAGCTCGACTGACAGAGCGTTGGGAACGCTTTGCATGATATCAGGCAACTGCATCTTGTGGAATCGACTGGTGTGCTGCCTATTAACGCTTCATTCAAATGGTGCTCATCATCGGGGTGCACGAATATCGAGGTTGAATTTCCGGCCGAAGATTTGCTCATGCACGTTCCCAATACTTTCCATCAGAGACGAGCAGCTCCACAAGAAGGGGGTCATCGGCATCCCACGAACAGCCCACATTATTCACCTCAAATCGTGCTTTCCTCGATCTGCCAAACGCAGGGCGCTTCTGCGGCCCACTGCCGCCCTCAGCTGGCAAATCTGTGCACCATCGAAGTGGATGTTGATGTCTTGCTTGCCAACTACCTCGCCGCATCTGCAAATAGTCTTCCACCCTGGCGCCCGTTCATATCTGTCCCTGGGGAATGCGGCCAACAGCAATCTCTTGCCTCCACGCGTGGGATGCATTCTGTTGGATCCCGAACAGTGGGGAGCTTTGCATCCTCCGACGAGCGGCACAGTGGCTCAAAGAAATGGGAACCTCGCCAGTTTCAGAAGGCGCTGCTGGTCCGTTGGATGGAAGATGAGGGGGCAGACATTGCGACTGCCCTGTGGCGCACTTTGAAGTCCCTGCAATTGCCATCGGAGGAGGCTGTGGCTGGAGGTGGGGGTGTACTTCGAAGTGCAGAATTCTGCTCTTTGGCTTCTCCTTGGTTGTCGGTGGTTCCTGTGTACCTTGTCGACTTTTGCTCCGGTTATGGATACACCATTCCAGATATAAGACGAGAATCATCGCCACATCGAATGTCTTGAGTTACGGACAACTGCTCAGCCCACGTCTGTTTGGCGAACAAAACAGTTGTTGACACGGCTTCGTCAAGCAGTTGTCGGGGTTCCCCGAAGTGGCAAGAACAGTGGAGGAACGCGAGTATTCGGCGACCAACACCGGTCGTATTACATTTGCAGTAGCCATTGTAGCCATTCTACTTTTTGGTGCGATGCATTGTTTACAGAATCATTAGCCGATTTCAGTTTGAAAGTTCCGGGTGCCTCCCAATGCATTGCCATACAGTTGAATGCCATTATTGTGATATTCCAAGCAGTTTTTGCAATTTACCAGCTCAGATAGTGACAGAGTGACCGCGGGATGGGGAAACTTTTCGGCAGTAATGACGGATTGAAATGACATCTAGAGAATGTGAGTGAGTCGTGATTGCTGCGCAGGGAGGGATGCTTCAGTTCCCCAGGAAACATCGGCAGAAGTCAAATTAGGGCTGGCGCACGCACATTTGCAGACTTATGGCACAGGCATGGCTGAAATCAATGTGCGGTCCCCCGCTGCTGGGCAGACGCATATCGTGCTGGATGCAATCGCCAGAGCCATCAACTATCAGGTGCGCGAAAATTGAGCACGGGTGCTTCAATGAGCCGGCATATGCTTGAATGGCCTTCCATCTGAGGCGCGTGGCTGCTGTGATGCAGCCATGCTCATCCCCATCGTTGCAAAGGGTCTTAAGACAAATGGAAGCGCTCGGGCGCCCCGAATAACCTCCAATAAGCTCTTAACGCTCCGGGTGGAAAGTCCTTTGCATTAACCCTCGAAGACAACATGTGCAGCAGTCATCCCCAATGCGGCGAAGTGTGCAATATGCAATTTGTAGGTAGAAACGTCGAATTTAGTGTGCTTCAGTGATGGTACATTGCGCAAATAACACCATGCAACAAGGTGTGCAACTGCACATACTACTCCAAGATGTCAAGCATACCCGTTTTCAAACAAGTCGCACAGCGCTTGTCCTAATGAATCAATGAGGGTTTTGAGCCCAACTTTTCCGCGTCCACCTTGTTTGGTGAGACATGCAACAAATGTGAACAAAGGGGAAACCGAGGAGGAGGGCATGGCAATACAAACGAATAGACTACAATGAGCAAATCTGAAACGGATGCTAAAAGACATGGATCTGCCTGGCTGCTCGTGGACAGTGTTTTGCAGTCAACTGTGCCCAGCCTATTCGTGTTTGAAAACAGTTCTGACCATGGAATTTCTGTGGATTGACAGCACCCGGCCGCGGCGTTTGAGGAGAGTCCCATCAGCCGCGACGCATTGAATCGTCTGCACACTGCAGCAGCCGAACTCCACTCTGAGAAAACCCGCGCAACACAAGTTCTGGAAGAGCGGTTACTCCAAATGGCCGCCTGTAAAGTGGAACGCCCCTCCCCGTCTTTGCCGACCAGGTCTACTGCCGAAGAGGAAGGAGGAGGCGGTGATACTGGGAGAACAGGCATGGGACAAAGCCTTCCCTTGTCCCATCCAACGGACAAGGCGATGCTCGCCTGGCTCCCCTGACAGCAACGAACAGCCTTTGGGGCTGCCGTTTGTGCATGGATTCCATATATTAATCCAATTGACAAAGTATCGCGACTTTAAATTGCAATGCAGAAGGATGGCTATGTTGAGTTGCACAACAGATGAAATGATGCCAAATCCGTAGGAACCTTCCAAATATAAAAACATATTACTATACATAATATGTAATAATATATATCTACATACTAAATATAAACACCAACCTTCAGGGAATTTGAGGCAAAGCATGGCTCGATGGAACAATCACTATGTCGAGTTGCGGTAGATGCTATGTGGCATCGATTGAGGTCCCCGGGCACATACTTACAGAATGCACTCCGGTCGCATGCAAACTGCGTGATGTTTGGCACACAGGACTGAAGCGATGATGACGGGAGATTGTTACTTGAGCTTGACAAAAGAGAGTGGCTCGGTTTAAAGGCAGTTGTATACGTCGCTGGTGATATAATCAAATTGAAGTTGACAGAATTTCAACTGAGGAACGACAGACTCATCCAGTACGAAAAGGTATTCATGCATTGTTCCTAAATGCTTGTCCAGGCTTGGTTTTTACGCCGTAAAAACTGATCGTATTTACGTTTTTACGCGTAAAAACAGTTTTTACGTTTTTACGCGTAAAAATGCGTAAAAATACGTAAATACAACGTAAAAACTGCACGGTGTACACAAGGACAGTACATACAGATTTACCGAGTCGGAGAGTGGCAGCCAGATGCCCTGGAAGGGGCAGAAAACGAGTTTTTGTCAAACACCATCATCGCCCTTGCCAAGGGCGAGGTGGACACTGTGTTGCGGGTGCTGGATATGGTGGAGGACTGATCATTGTACGCAACTTTCATCACGTAATCTGGGCGTCCAAGGGAGCCGCAAAAACGTAAAAATAGCCGTAAAAATAGGGTCTTTTGCAAATTTACGTTTTTACGCGTAAAAACGTAAAAGTAAAAACGTAAACGTAAAAACCAAGCCTGCGCTTGTCGATGCAATTTTTTCAAAGACGCTCCCCAAAAGTCTCCAGGCAGTTTTCTTCATGCAGCAGAGCAACTATGAAGGGAGGCGGCTCACTGAAATGTTCCCGGTGCTGAGGCAACTCCTGTCAAGTTCTTGGGACTCCATGATGGGCACACACAGCAGCGACAATTTCGATGGTAAGCATTGCAATGCCGAGTTCGATTTTGAGCATACGCATCAAAGAAATTATGTGCTGAAAACAAGCGCATGCCGAGCGGAAAACAATGAGCGGCAAGCGAATATATATGCAAGCGAGATTCCTGATGACAGCGTCCGCAACGGCACTGCCTCGATATCTTTTTCAATCACTTTCAGGCTGCGTCAGCCTGTACCTTTCCCATTGTCAATTCGCCGATAATCATGTTGTCACCACACTTAACGCGGGCCACAGTTTTGTCAAAAAGAAGATACATTTTAACGCATATATCCACTGAAACAGCACAAAAGGTCACTAAGAGATCAAGCATGGGTACCCGATGAGCATTGCTCGAAGCCCAAAGAGCGTGTGAAAAATCTGCAGATACTGTATACCGAAAAATGTATGCGGCAGAAAATTTTGCGAGCATTCCGCGCTCGAATCAGTGAGCGAAGTTATTTCGCGCGAAATTTTCGCGCCCTGTGGACGGTTTTCGTCCACGAATTTTTCGGCTCTTCACCGACAATGCATTTGGCGGCTGGCTCGCTTGGGCACGCCGGCTTGCGCATAGGCCACTTTAAAGTGCTCCACTCGTTGCGGAGCATCAAGTGCCGCAAAGGAGCCATGGGATGGCCTGCAGATCCAGGCTTGTCATCACGTTGATGGCACCACTTTTTGCTGTTGCGAGTTTTGTGCGAGCAAATTTAAACACATAGAAACAACTGCTCTACGGCTATGTTTTGCGATTTGTACGGCGCGTTGAGGCGCCCAGGGTACATGATGAAGTCACAAGCATTGGTCAGTTCTCCGCTGCCTCGAGCACCCACGACACAGCGTCCACCTCGTCCTCGGCAAGGGCAAACACGTCGTCTTACAGAAGAGAGTTTCTGCCACTCTAGCGCCTCTGGGTCCTGCCCGGACTGACTGCGTCTGCGTGTATTGTCTGTATCCACACAGCGTCTGTATTTACGTATTCTTGTGCATGTTTGCACGTAAACAGGTGTTTCCGCCATAGTTTTTTCGCGGCAAAATACGCGAATGTTTTTTTTCCCCGACGGACACTTTTTGGTATACAGCAATGAATAATTTGAGAGCCTCTGTTTTCGTGAAACTGCCCAATGCGCTCCTGGACCAATTACACAATTGTGCTGGCCAGGAGGGGCCAACTAAGAAAAAGTGGGGATTGTGGGGCAGTTGGTCTTTCTAATGAATTCATCATCAGTGCGATGAGTTTTCTGAGACAATCATTGTCAAAAGGCAGAAGTACAGTGCAACTTTGGGCAAATTTATAGTAATAGTATTTGTCATAGATTTGTCCAAATTTGTGATGTACTTAGTTGACTTATAAGCCAGCCAAGACAGGAGGTCTAAAGGAACATTGGCGGTTGATAAATGTGGATTCATAATTCCCCAGCCACTTCGCACTTGGTCTAAGGGCGTCGATGCCTCGTTGGCTGTTCGGCGTGTGTATTTCAAGAGCGGGCTGCTTGCAGGGACTTTTAACCAAGGCACAGAATAGGCCACATTAGTGTAGGGCAACCTCTGCGCTGCCTTGATAGATGTTACGTGATTGTGGACCATTGAGGATGTGTGAGCTGCAGCCAGACGGCAGAGCACAGCCAACAAACAACGAGCAGTTGCAGCTTAGTTTGGCAGGCGCTAAACGCTGGTAACAAATTGGCCAAAGTACACGGTCCTGAAATTCGTGTACCCTGTTACGTGTGTCAAAATGGTGTAAAAATCGTGTGAACATCGCTTACCGATCGTGTAAATGCACGTTTGCGGCTGGTACACTGCCGAAATCGTGTAAAACCGTGTGCTTTGTCGTGTTGTCCATGGTGGTAAGGGGGGCCACTTTCGTGTACTACACAGGGTTGAAAACTACACGATTTTAGCAATCGTGTAAAATCGTGCTCCGAAGCACCCGAATTTTACACGATTTTGACACGATTTTGTACAATTGTACACCGTGAAAAATGGTCGAAATTTTACCAGTGAAACATGTATTTCCTGTGCAGTACGTGCGCCCACGGGGAGGACGTGGGACATGTCATCATGTCAGTTTTCGATGATCTTCTTGGTGCATGTTGAGATGCTGGGCTAATGCACAACGCATAGTTGTACTGTAAGCCATAGTACTTGACATTGGCACCAGCGATGCATGGGGGATTACTCGATGGTCCCTTGGGTCTTGCACACATGCGCTTGGAGAGTGCGTGATACATGTCACTAAAGCTAAGGCGCATTCAAAAGTAGTTTGTCAGGCTGCATAGGAAGCCTCACCTCCTGGTCGACATGATCAGGAGACCATGCATCGTTCAATCCACCACTGTGGCACACCCGATGGAGTCTGCGAGCGGCGCCGCTCAATGCCGGCATTGGCTGTTAGTGGCAAGTGGTGGGAGGCCTTTGGTCAGCCGCAGGGACCGAGCCGTTCTGGCCTGGCAGAACCAACAAGGGAGCCTGACCCAGAAGGGCTCGACAATGGATGTGACCATATGAGAGTTTCCGAAGTTAAGAACTTGTGGATTATTGATTCCCCTGATCCTTCCGATGGTTGCAATAAACTGTGGTGCGCACCCATCGAGGCTCATGCACGACCTAGAGGACCAGTGAAGGCAGACTGCCAATGGCGCACCGCGTGCCGCACCCAAGTGTTACAGCTACAGGGGAAGGCCACGCACAGCAAGCAGCAAGATCGAGGTTTGTTTGACGTTCTTATACCATGATTTCTCATTTTTCAAAAGAGAATGGCTTTCAACGCCCCAACGGCGAATTTGGCGAACATTTTCCAGCCTCTGGACTCCGTACTTAAGGGAGCAAATGATTCACCACCAAGAATTCTTACATATCAGTGAGGCAGCCATCAGTCCCCAATTTCGTGTGAGCAAAGCAGTGACCATGAATTGTTCCATGAGATCCTAAAGCACTGCCACAATCCAGCCAAAGTGTTGCTGTCCACCAGAACGCACGAACCACACAAATTTGGAATTAGCAAACCGACTCTACGCATTGATCGCAATTTCTAAGCATGACAACTCTCAAAAGGCCACAAGCCCAAGGGGATCAACGCTGTCCAGTTCGTTCCCTGATTCGCAAGTGATCCGCCTGGCATACAATTACTGGCTGCACCAAATCGATGACTTTCTGCAGTAAATCGGTGACTGCTTGCACCAACTCCCTTCAAAACTTACCTAAACTGAAACCTCAACCCTAAAACCTAAAACTAAACCTGCCCTAACCCTTATTCTAACCCTCAAACTCACCCTAAACCTAAACCTAAACCTAAAACTGAGGTTAGGACACAGTGTCCACGTGATTGAGTGCCAGCAGTCACCGATTTGGTGCAGGCAGTAATATTATTTCGATCTGCCCACCGCATGGATCCAGCGCTTGGATACCGTCGGAAATGCGATACAATCAACGCCATCTGACGCGGTGGCCAACACTCAAGAGGGCACCTCAGCGTTGTGGGTGGCAGGTACTCCAACGTCCAAGCCTCCGAGTGGATCGTCGGCGCGCCAAGCGATGGCACGGCCACAAACCACCGCGTGCGCGATGCTGGTGCGCTGCACGCCCCTTGCAGGGGCGCCATCAATCGCCAGAGCAAATGCGGCGCGTCATGGCGCGGTGCATACAAGATTGTCCCGTGGACTGAACCTTGCGTCTGAATGCGGTGATTGAGGTGTTGATCTTAGGCCTGTGCGCCCATGGTGGCGATCCGGGCTGCACGGAGGAGGGCATTTGCCAACTGGAGTTCTTCCCGGGGATCGGGGAAATACAATATGAAGGCCCGACGTCCAGGAACCCGATGGCGTTTCGGTACTACAATGCGTCAGAGGTCGTTCATGGGAAACCCATGAAGGAATGGTGCGCCTCCGCAGTGCGGATTGGTCTGTAGAAAAGGGAAACGATTGGGGAAGTCTGCTGGAGACGTAGGACGGAATGATGCCTTCGCGTTTAAAGACCAGCTTGCACGGGCGCGTCTAGGGCGGAAGTCGAGCTGGAGCTTTGTATTCAGCGGTGGGAGGCTTGGATGCGTGTTTCGGTTTTTGCTGTATTCATTCAAAGCACTGCATCACATCAATTGTTGCACCGCATTGTGGTTGGTTCTAATAAGCGAGTGGCGCAATGATTGGATGCACAGATGCGCAATTGGCCAGATGCTTTTGCCATATTGAGATTTGGACAAACGGATTGTTGTGTGCAGGCTTCGTTTCAGTGTCGCGTTTTGGCACACGTTCAGAGGAGACGGATCGGACCCCTTTGGGTCAGCAACAAAGGTGAAGCTTCCCATCAAACATTACCTCCAATGTGCTGGTGACAAGACTTTTCCCTGAGACTCTCCCACATCGTTGGAGACTATCCAGAACTCTCCGAGCGCTAGAGGAACAGGACATAGCATAGGAACCCCTCACTTTTGCACTTTGTCCTGCCTGCAGTCCAACACAGCAATCATGAATATTTTGCGTTCATGAGACACTTAATTTGCTCTGCACCCAAATTCCAACACTGCAAAGATTGCATCACCCAAATTCAGGATACTGATATTGACACCGATGGCACCAATGGCAAGGAACTGCTTGTGAACTTAGTAATACAGCACATGAATTTACTGTGGGCATCGCGCCAACGTTGAATGTCTACCATCTCATGTCATAAAGGAACAGAGTTGTGCAGCTGCAGCTGGGCCTGAACTCAGCTGGCAGAGGTAGGAAAACTATTTGCAATTATGAGAGACGTGGCCGAGAATGAGAAGCAGTTGTTTAAAACCAACATATGGCAATTGAGGAGAACCACTGCACCCGTGACTGACATCTGGTTTCCAGTTCATAATGGCCGTTTCCAACACATGTTCACTGTGTGTGTGATACTACAGGCATGGCCATGGGAAGATGCGAGTCTTGACCCAATGGAGATGGCGTTCAGGCGAATCCGTGCCAATTTCGAGTTTTTGAGAAAGCTTGGTGTTGAATACTGGTGCTTTCATGACAGGTGCAGAGGTTCATGCACAGCCGTTTCAGTTCTTTTATGTTGGACGTTAGCCCACACTTGCTGTGCTGACATTCACCTGTACAACTATCTGGGTGTTCATTGCTAGGCTTTGACTGACATGCCAGTTTTTGCTTGTGTTTGTGACTCCATTGCAGACCCCCATAGGTGCAAGCTCATTTGCAGAGTTCATTCGTATGCCAGCCCTCTATAGATTCACTGCTGTGCAGTGATTTGATGCTCTTTTTCTTTTCAGAGACATCGCACCAGAGGGCAGGGATTTGGCAGAAACGAATGAAAATCTGGACAAGGTGGTGGATTTGGCTCTGGACCTTCAGAAACAGACTGGCGTTCGACCCCTTTGGGGCACTGCTCAACTCTTCAAACATCCCAGATACATGCATGGGGCCGCAACAAGTGAGAGCTTTCCTGCCCTGCAGATCGCAGCCTAGAGAAGCATCTTAAATATCTGACTTGCAGTGCATGCATCACAATGCACCACTGATGTAGTAACCAAAATCATGTGCTGACAGGATTAATCTGTGCATATTATTCTTGGAAGCGCTCTCAAGTTGCCTCCAAACGAGTTACAAGCCCTGGGCATGTGCACGTTGACTATCAATCCTGCATGTGGTCCCAGATGCCTAGGCGTTTCTCTGATGCGCTGGTATGCTTCCTTGGTTCAAATAAGGCACTTCCCATAATTGCCAGGTCAACAATTTGAAAACCAGAGGGGTTGCACTTCATATGGATGTGTGGACAGTGTTCAGTGCTCACCAAGGATTGTTGAGTCCCTTTCTTGGCAACGCAAGCACACATTCCATTGTGCATTCTTCAACTTGTAGTGCGCCGGCTGTTCTGCTGCTGAAAATCTCTGAAGAAATGCGAGTGCTGACAAGAAGCATGTCCAGGTCCCCAAGCTGGCGTCTTTGCGTATGCTGCCGCACAAGTGAAGAAGGCAATGGAAGTGACACTGAGACTGGGAGGCTTAAACTATGTGTTCTGGGGTGGCCGGGAGGGCTATCACACATTGAGGAACACCCACCTGAAAACTGAACTGGACAATCTTGCACGCTTTTTGAGAATGGCCGCCGATTATAAGCGTAAGATTGGATTCAAGGGTACGCTGCTTATTGAGCCCAAACCACAGGAACCCACCAAGCACCAAGTGAGTTTGTCATTTACTTGTGCTGCAGCTGCCTTCTTGCCTGTTCTGGCGTCTGAGCAATGCTGTTGCCCGCAACGAGTCTGCTGGCAGTGTAGTTCATGTGTGGCAAGCATCAATTGGGTGTTCTTGGCCCCTGCAACCTGCTCGTTTATGATTTGTTCCCACCTGAGTAAGCATTACAATGTTCTCATGGTGGTGCAAGTCTTGAAAATTTGTGTTGCTATACGTAAATTATGCATTCTGAGGTGTACAAATTTAGATACTGTTGTGAGTCTGCCCTGTAAATTGCTTGCTGCATGGTCCACTAGTAGGTGCAGCGTGCTGGTGGGCTACTCTCCAACAGGCTTCCTGCAAAGGGCCTACAGGATAGCATGGTGCACACGATTCTCCACTGTGCACTGTTCTAAACCTCAATGTTTTTTCATTTCAGTATGACTGGGATGCGGCTACCACCATCGGATTCCTGAGGGAACATGGACTGAAGAATGATTTCAAGCTGAATATAGAATGCAATCATGCAACCCTGTCGCAGCACAGCTGTGAGCATGAGCTGCAGTTTTCTTCTTCTCAGGGAATGCTCGGCAATATTGACATCAACACTGGAGACCCACAAACGGTATGAAATTTCTCTAATCCTGTGCTGGCGGTGCTCTTGCATCCCTGCAGGAAAGTGATTTGATACCATCATGCCGTGTGACAACATTGTACTTTGGCGGTACCTAACCATGCCCATGGATATTGCCGGACCTCTACACTCCACAACCAAAACACTTAATGCAGCTACATGCCCAAATCACCCTTTATGTGCAGTCTACTGAGACACAGACTCTGCCTCACAGAGGCATTGATGGTTTGAAAGGCGCCTACGGCTTAAGCAAAACGTAGGCGCTGGGGCCTCAGATGGCCATGGCAATGCATGTTTGCATCTAATGGCTTTCTGTTTGACACTCTAACGGCATGTCCCGATGTCGAAAATACCACGATAGTTTGTATTGCCTTTTCTGGCATGCTGCTTTTTGCGCAACTGCAAGATGCAAATGCGATGAACTTGATCTACTGCAAGTGGAGATTTGCTGCTCAACAGGGGTGGGACACCGATCAGTTTCAGATATCGGACCCAGTGGAGGCAACTCTATTGATGGCAGTGGTTCTGAGGCAAGGGGGACTTGCCCCCGGAGGTTTCAACTTTGATGCAAAGCTGAGGAGGGAAAGCACGGCAGTGGAAGATCTGTTCTATGCACACATCGGCGGCATGGATGCTTTGGCCCGCGGACTTAGGAACGCAGCCAGGCTGCTGGAGCAGGGGGAAGTCGACAGTGTGATACAAGCACGATACTCAAGCTTTGATGAAGGAATCGGAAAGGATATCGTAAACGGAAAGGTGCGATGCCACACAGCTGTGGAAATGTGCCTGACTAGGCTTAGGAATGTGGCTGAATTGTTGTGTGCAGAACTGCCTTCTTTGTGGTGCTTAAGAATTATTGCATTGATTGGAAACCCAGGCAATAAGCGCATGTCAGACTGCAACAGATGTCGTGGTGGCAGGTGCATCATCATAGACTATTGCTCCTCTCCATACGACAGCAACAAAGCAGCGACTTCTTGGACTGTCTGTCTGGACTTGGCTGCCATCATGCTATCATTGATAACTGGCTTATTTCTGAACGAGCACACTCAGGGCGCAGTGCTGCTTTCTGTTTGTCCACAGTTTTGTTGGTGTGCAGGTGGGCTTCAAGGAGCTGGAGAAGTACGCTCTGAGTCATCCAGACCCTATTGAAGACTTGCCAAGCGCGCATGCAGAGAAGGCAGAAATTGTGCTCAGCATGTATGTGCAATGACGGGCAGTTGCCAGTGCAATTCCTCACCCGCTGTACCCTGGTTGCAGGACAGTACTCCAAGGCTCAATTGTAACGCTCGAGTAGCAGCTGCCCTTGTACCTGCATTCGGGATCTGAAAACACCATCACCACCCGAAATATGGGGCACTTCGTTCCAGGAACTCGGCAATCCACAAACACACACATTCGGCTCCAGGGTGCAACGTTTCCGATACCGTGCATTCGCTTGCGTAAAATATCAGGAAGTTGCATGATCTGTGCCGTGTAGGACTGTGAAGGGGGGCGAGAATTGTAGGAGGCGGTGAATGTGTAGCACTGCTATGGAGTCCATGACATGGACTATTGACAGCCCGATGCCCACGTCCTTTCAGGCCTCACTGGAGCATGCCTTGCTGTGTTCTCTTGGCCTTCTACGTTTCTATTCAAACAATGGTTCATATCTAAGGAAGGAAAATATTGGTCTATTGTGTATCAATCTTCAGACGTCAAACCCTGGCTTCAACAATAAAGACAAAAACTTGACGGACACCTGATTCCGTGCTTTCCACTTCACACGGGGCACGTTGCCCTCAACGCGAAGCCAGAGGTCCACTCTCCCCTCAGGTATTCCAGGCGGTGTTTTCAAATGCCGCTGGCATTGCAGTAGTCAGCTGTACGCAATCGTTTGGGAATATAGCAATTGCGCTAGATTCTAATTTGTCGTGGAACAACACGCATTATTTGTCATTGCACGGATTCGTGGCACTTATTTCTGTTGATGGTGCGCCCACCAGGCTTTGCCTGTGAATTGGGGAGCGTGCACGATCATCTCCTGCGGCCCCTCGGCCAATTTGCCATTCGCGAGCCACACGTTGGCAGCGCTTGCAAGGGATTCGCCAACCTTTGACATTGATCGGAACATGCGCCACTTGGCTCCACGCTACTCCGTTATTATCTGTGGGCTCCGTTGACGGTGTGCTCAGAACGTGTTCCCTCACCCGAGGCGCAGGCATCCTCAGTGAGCCTCGAGTTCGCCTCCACGAGTGTTGGTGTTGCGTTCTGTGCCCACTGGTGCCCACGAAACACGTTCTAAAACGTACCTTAGTTAACAGGTCTTTGCCAACCAACCATTGGATTGGCAGACAAAAGGGGGTTTAAGAGTTCAGAAGCTCCCTTCTCAGGAACTATTCAAGAGAAGTACGCGTTGAAGAAGCCACAATATTCTCCCATGGGAAACGAAAAGGATACTACAAGCACACCACGAGAGAGCGACGTTGCAAAGCCGACAAACAGCAATGTATATCAAGCGGTGTCCGTTTGATTGGTTACTGCGTCGGGCACTAAATTTTCACCAGTATTTCCCGTATTATTGCCCGACGCCACAAATCTTCACCAGGTTTGAGCATTGCACCAGCAATTGCCTTCGTGTCGTCCAACCCTGTCCAAAACTGTCCCTACCGAGGTGGATTCTTTCTCAAATCCCCCAGGCACGTTGTCTATAGTCAGAAGTACTTAGCCATGTCTTGCCAGAGATCCGAATCCCGAGGGAAAACACGACCAGAGATAAGCAAAGTTTCATTGTGCATAAATTGAAGGTTTGTGTCCTGCCAGACCACTTGATCAGCACGAAGTTGGATAGTAATGCACATTATACGATGTGCACAAGCCCGGCATGAGCTTGAGCTCAGATAACATCTTCTGTACAAAGCAATGCTGCAGCACAAGTATTGTAAGGGATTGGCAACATCAGCAGACAATGTACAATGCAACTTCCAGAAATCACAGGGGCTGGCGCAGTGTGGAGCGCCATTCTCTTCACATCTTTGTGCATGAACCTCGATGGCCCCCTTCTGGAAACCCTTGCTGATCAATTTCTTCCGCTTCCGAACAAACCCAGTTCGCAATTTTGTTTTGGACATTGTCTGAATCCAAGCGCTTGCAGAGTTCTGGCCGCATAAACTGTCCAGTCCACGGTGCCATTGTTCCTGGACTTGTATCTGTAGATTTGAGCCCAAATTGGGACGAAAAAAAGTATTGGGGTTCTCTCTCGACTGTGTTGCTGTCTGTGGACCTACGCACACTGTGTTCCTTGACGCTGTGTGTGTGGGGGGGGTGGGGGCGTGGTGCGTGTGTGAGGGGGTGGGTGGGTGGTGTGGGCTGGGGACCTTTCACTTATTGTGAGGTCCTTGTAGACGCTGTTTAACTATCTGAGTGCAGCAGAGACACGTGACATGACCAGTGTGTCGATTTTTCACGTTGCCTGCAAGGATTTTCGTTCATTCATTCATTCATTCACTCGGACGGCAAAAAGAGGAGAAAAAAATTTGCGGTCGCTATCGCACGCCAAATCGACGGTCGGGCATTCACTGACCACCGCTATAAATTCCCCCCAGCCGCCACTCTTCAATCCAACACCAACGCGGCCCCCGTGGGCCCGGTCCCTCCGGCCACGGGGGACCCTGGGGCGTCTTCCTCTTCCCCATGACGCCCACGGGTTTTCTGGCGCGTGGACGCAGCCTCTGGCGACCTTGCCACCCGGGACCGATCTCTCTTTTGAGAATCCAGTCGGCCTGCGGCCGGCGGCGGCCGGGCAGCTTGCAGGCGGCTGTGGGCCAGGTCGCGGCGTGCGCCTCCATTCCGGCGTTGCCCCCGGCGGTGGGCCGCATCACCAGCACGTCGAACGCGTACGTGAAGCATTGCGTCCGGCTGCGGACGAGCGCCGCGTACAGGAGGGAGGTGGGCAGGGTCCTTCTGGTGGGATCGGTGCTACTGAGAGAACTGCTGGGTAGGTGGGCGCCTTCGCCGCTGGCCCTCGCCATCTGGGCCCGTGGGCTTTCTACCGTTCGCGGTGTGTTTGAACCGTGGGTTTTTCGTGAGCCGCCACAGTGTTTGAGATCATGGTGGGGAACGACAAGGGAAGCTCCTTCTTGCTGTGGCTCTGGATTCGGATTTGATTTGTTTTGGGGGCGATCGCCCAGCCAGATTTTGATCTCGCGATCTCTTGTCTTTGACCCTGGAGATCATCGCCACGCTGCTTCAAGAACCGAAGTGGCACACCGATCTGTTGTCTGCACAGAACCTGGATGTGACATTTCTGGGTTTGTCGTCTGTTCCGATAGCATTTCTCACCGCCGCGATATCTGGGCTTGTCCTCCTGACTTTCTAGTCAACGCGCAGCCAGAGCTGGCTTTGCTTATTGAACCTGGACACTTGTATCCTGGTGGTTGCTCCAACTGGCGTGCCTTACAATATCCGTTGCCTTGCTGCAGATGGTCAGGTGGATCTCAACGCCCATGCGGTGTTTGTTCCCACCAGTGGGTGCCCAGACATCGGCGAGGATCTGGGCCCGATCCTGGAGGTCTCAGACTCAGTGCTGAAGAAGCTGAGTGGAGTTGAATCGGTGATGGGCGTCGGAGCAATCGCAGAGGTGGACATGCCATGGAGAGGCAGCTGGCAGGCCAGTGCCGTGCCGCGGAGGGTCCTGGCCTTGGAGGGTGTACAGGTATACTGAGACACTCAACATGGATTGCTGGGGAGGGCGCTGGATTCTTCTAAAGATCTGTGTTAGATTATTTGTCCAGGAGGTGTCTCTTCCACTAGTTGGGGAGGATCCTGAATTCTTCATAAGTTTTCCACCTGTTTCTGTGCCCCTGACTTGTGGTGTGCTGTCAATCTTAAATTAAGGGCCCAGGCTGGCAGCATTGTGCATTTCAGGCAAGCCCAAGAAAATCGTTGCTCATGCTGTTGCAGAATACTGTAGCTTGTGAAAATGCGATCTCCCCCCGTTTCCAACTGCCGTCTGGTCGACACCAGAGCTGCACATGAATTTTTGGCAAGCTGTGTCCCAGCAGATGTGTTGTGCAACAAGACAGTAGAGATTCAATCCCCCAGTTGCATATGCTGCTAAGATTTCATCAAGACAGGAAAGGCACTGGGCTGCACCTTCGTTGTGTGATTTCCAAGCTTCCCCCCATGTTCCTAAACCCAAGCATGCATCGCATTTAATCCCTCACGAAAATGCAACAGGTCGCACTTGTGCTTGTCCCACACTGTGGCTGTGTCAGGGCTGCCATTTGGTACTGTAATGGCGGTTGGCAGTGTGTGACATGCGCAATTTTTTGCTGGCAGGACCCCGGGAACGTGGGAACACTGTTGCGAACGGCAGTGGCGTTTGGCTGGGACAGTGTGTTCCTGCTGCCGGGCTGCTGCGACCCCTTCAACGACAAGGCGCTGAGGTCTGGGCGAGGTGCAGCTTTCCAGGTGCCGCTAGTGGCTGGCACCTGGGATGAACTGGGTGCCTTTGCCAAGGACAATCAGCTGCGGTGCTTGGCGGCAGTTGCTCGCACCCAAGGTGTGCACCACTCTTTGTTGTTCAGAGGACACGGAGGCTCAAAATCAAATGCTGTTGTTTGTTTATTGCATGCATGTAAATTTGCTATGTTGAACACCTGGAGAATCATTCCTTACCTGGGGCTGGCCATGCCCATCCATAGAAGGTATGTGTGTATGTGTGGCAGTGCTAGCGGCCTTTTGAGATAGAGGGGATTCATACCTATCGGTGGGCCTCGTCTTGATCGTAAATAGCTTCAACACTGTATGAGTTTTGTCCGCTGGTATTGTGGCCATGTTGTGGGCTGTCACTTTGGGATGCACGTGAGCCACTGAATATGTGTCTTGTAGGCATAAATGCAGGTGTTGGTGCTGTCACAAATGCATGTGCATGTGAGACAATGATACAGATTCTGCAGCCCCCAATGTAGGTTCCTTGTTAAGCCTTTGGGCAACAAGATGGCAGCTTGGATCTGATGTGCTTGACAGTGCCACACAAGCATAAAGGCACTGGCACATGGGTACATGGTGAAGTAGAGGAACTTCTAAAATGACTGAAGAGAGCAGATATCCACAGCGTCAATTTCGCGAATGGCTTGCTATTAGCACAAACACAATTGGATGACAGAACGACAGAGTTACTGATGTTCATTTTTGGTCATGCTTCTATTGCAGACGATGGGAATGGAGGCGACAGCAACTGTGGCGCGGCTCTCAATGGCTGGTGGGGTGCAAAGTACAAAGAAGGCATATGCCTGGTGCTTGGCAGTGAGGGACAAGGCCTTTCCGCCGAAAGTCGCCAATACTGTGAGGCAGTCAATATTCCTATTGGGGACAGGATGGAGTCCCTCAATGTGGCAGTGGCTGGTGGAATTCTGATGTTCCTCCTGAGGCTGCAGTGAATCCTGAAGTCGCCCTGTGGGATTTGATTTAGACGCATCGTTGACTGGAATGCAGAATGGCACACGATGTCTTAGGGGTCGCACTGTTGTTGCTGCATGTATCTGGGCCATTAGTGTCACAAGCACCATTACATGCCCTGCTGGTGTGAGAGGATTGTGACAGCGTTCAATTTCTCCCTTTTGCAGAGGCGCGTTAAGCTCGATGCTTACCATGTATGGGAATCTGCCCTTTGGCTCCACGGTCGCGTTTCCTTTGGGCCCCCGACACAGGTTGGGGTGTCAAGACCCATTTGGAGTCAAAGAGAGGATTCCCATTCATGGTGAGTTTCGAGCGTGGCACATCTCTTCGAGGAGCGACAGCTGTGGTAGTTTATTTAGGGCACAGGCGATCGCTGTACGTATGATCGTTTGGCGGGATATGCGATGGACGAAATGTAGTGGCAACGGCATGTGCGAGGGCGTGTGATGTTTGCTGGAACTCTGGGAATGCAGGTGGTGCCAAACATGCGCTCACCCATTGTTGACTGAATGTCTTGATGTGCGAAATTGCACACTTGCTGTCCCTTGAAGTGTGGCGCTGATCATTGTCAATGTGGCTCCAACTCTGCAATGTCATACATGATGCGCAAGGTGAAAATCATCCAGAGCGGAGTGTGCAAGGAAGTCTTAATTATCGGTCAACATCTTCCTTAGTGTACATCTGCACTCCTTCGCCTTCACCCCCCCACTTCAGGCGCGCGTTTGCGGCACTCCACGTCCTCTCCCCTTGCTCTTCAGCTTCGCTGTCGAAACCGCGACTCTTGGTGCGCCGTTGATGGGGCGTGCATGTTCCCTGTGGCGAAGTCCTGGCCGACAGGTTCTCCTTGCCAGATCTCGTTGACCTTGTCCTGGACGAGGTATCCGGACGTCAGCAGCCAGCATCGCGACCACTGCACATGTGGCTTCTGGAATCCACAATGTGGATCCACATTGTGGATTGCAGAAGTTGCCCCATTGCGCAGAAAATGGCGGCAGTCATGTTGAACAAAATGAGGAGGGCCAGGCCATTGTAAACCATTCTGACCGCTCCTATAATGGAATTCGTTTTCGTCTCATCAATATTCAGCATCCAGGCCAGCCACCCGAGTAGGGTCACCAAGAATTCCCCAATCCACTGGATGCCAGCACCCAGGAACCTCACACCTCGTCCGACAGCGCCAGCCAACGCCGCCATGACGGCAGCCCCTTCCATGGGCGATCCCGGAAAGCTCATAGTCATCGCGCACCTCACCGCAGAGGTCTCCACCAGTTCCGTACGACACAACGTCCTCCCCGCGTCCACTCGTTGCGCGTACCGGCCGATCCGCACTCCCGTAGGGTGCTACGGCACTCCAGCACCAGCGACGGCGCCCGCCTTGCGTAATGCGCCGCCCTCAGTCACTCCGGATCCCACGAGCGTCTAACCAGCACTCGGCGTGAGTGCGCGGTACACCACAGGGCCCCGAGGCTCCTTAGGCCGGCTCACGTACTCTCGGGTAACGTGAGGGGGCAAGGCCAGCGGTGGCCGAGCCTGGCGGGGGGCTGTGGTGCGACGGTGGGGAGGTACAGGCGGCTGGGACACTCTTTGCCACACAGGGGCCTGCCGGAGAGCTGTCAGGACAGACTCCCCGCGGCTATTTATTACAGAACTGTCTTTCGGGTACAACCGGCAACCATGCGTTCACTCCTTCTCGTCATGCCTCCCCGTTCACTCATCCAACTGGACACGACACGACCCAATCACAGCAAGTTTCCGGTACAATCCGTCCCGTCCGGTCACACGCCAGCCAGGACACCCCAGAGATCATTCTCCGTCAAGGAAACCCTCGGACAACTCCATCCTCGCCAGCTGGCTTCCGGTGGCTACCCTCCGTCTCGTCATCCGCCAGCCCGGACACCATCACGTCACGACTGCCAGCTTGTCTCCCCTCTTTCCGTAATCCGCGCCCATCAACCTCCGAATCCCGGCGTGAGTGATGGCGTCACCGCGTCCTCGTTGCGTGTCCCATCAAAACTGGGTGGCAGGGTTGGCGTCGTCATCGCGGTCGTGCCGAGGGTTGCCGGTACAGCGGGTGGTCCACCAGCGGGCGCTTCTTCCATGACGTCATCGTGGACCTGCCCCTGTCGCCTCGCCTCGCGTCGCTGACGTCGGATGGCCCTCCGCCAGGCCCGCTCCTCCGCGCGCAACTCCACGGCCGTGTACGGCGGCTTGCCCGCATTGAGGCGTCGAGCCACGAGCGCGCTGGCTTCCGCGAAGGCGGCGGAGGGCAGTACGGCCGCATTGGGTTCCGTTTGCACACCGAACTCCTTCCGATCACGGACGAATACTTCAGACGCGCTGGACGGATGCGTGGCCGCGTACTCACGGCGGGTGACGCCTCCACCCTCCATGCGCCAGCAGCGCTCATCGGAGTGCGGTACACTGATGTCAAGGCTCATATGTACCTGGCGATAGTAAAAATTGATCTCCACACCGCGCCAGGCCTGGATCCGTCCACCTTCACGCTCAATCATCGCCGCGATGCGTTGCCGGAACGCCTGCGTACCCATGCCGGTGTACGGCCGATGCGGATGGGGATACACTTGGAGTGCCCAGGGGCGGTACACGGCCTCGGGCTTGTAGTCAGGGTTCCAGTCCGGCTTTTCCCCAGGTCCAGGCAGATGTCCTGACGTCAATTGCGTTGACACGGTGCGGCAGTACGCCTCGCGCGCCTCCTCTTGCAGCCGATACCTCAGAGAGTCTTCCCCATGATCTCGCTGGTGATGTAGCCACGGCGCGTCCTCGTCGCTGAACGGTAAGACTACCGTAAGCCCAAAACACCAGTAGCCTGGAGGGCAGTCAGACTTCTCGAGGTACCATCTCGAGAGCCAGAGGTCGCCGAAGGCGAGCCACTGGGCGATCAAAAAGCGCCAGCTTTCGACCTGGCGGAATCGCGTCGCCGTCATGGCTGCCGGGAAACCGCCAACCAGCTGCTGGGCAGTGAGACTGGGAGACGGGGCTCGCGGTGCAGGATGGTCAGAATGCAGGGAAGCGCTGCTGTGCGCTTTTGCCGTTTTGGGGTCTTGGACGGTGTTTGGATGTCGGACTGGTCGCTTGACGGCTTGTGGGTGTGTGAGAGGATGTCGTTATCCTATGCTGGGCGTCAAAGTCGGACGGGACCTTGCATGTGGATGCGTAGTTGGTCATGAAGGGTAGTGAAACTGTTCATTGGAACTGGTTCCGGAATTCTGATTGCTGAGCGGCTTGATCTTGTACAGTTCTGGTCAGATTGTAGCTTCTTGAGCGCTCCTCATGCTGCCGCTGTCTTCAGATGTAATATGCGTTTGATGATGTAACTAATGGTGGTCAGTCGATGCTGCTGGAAATATTGCCGGTAGATGCTGGGAAAATGAAGTTGATGGAGACATTTGCCATGTCATTTATGGCCTGGAAATGGCCAACTTTAACAGGATCCGTTCGTTGCGTCACCCAAGGCACAGATGGCGAACGGATAGGCATCTGTGGCACATATGTAAGTAATGATGCTCGCCTTGCAGTTAGCGTTGTGCTGTGCGCCGCGCACCCCGGAATAGCTTCGTTGGGGCCCACAAAGCCATGGTGGGACAAGCTGCAGACTGTGTCCTCCAGACGGCGTCGGTGCTCGAGAAGAAATGGAAGTCCCGCGGCGGGTTTGGAACGCCGCCTATTCGCCGGCACGTCGCTTCGCTTCGCCAATGTGACGGTTCGGCGGACGTGATGATTGGCTTCAAGCGTCGCCCGTGTGCGCCCCTTTGCGCAGCAGCCGTGATACGGCGGACTCGCGCCTGCCGCTAGACGCGGCAGGCCGAAGCAGGCAGGCGCTCCGAGGATGCGGTGCCAGTGGCCGGCAGGCCGTGCCCTGCGTGCTCTTGCCCACGCGCCCGCCGCACTTCATTCAGCGCGGGGGGATCCTGGTGGCCAGTGGGCTCATCCGATTCGGCGCCAGGGAACGCTCTGTTTGTTGGGATCGCCCTGTTTCAACCGTCCCTTCGCGCCTTCGCCCAGGCAGGGAAGCACGAATGGCGCCGCAGCCATGGGCAGCTCCCCGCCGCCTCCTTCGCGCGCTGCTGTCCGAGGCCAGCCCAACCGACAGCCCAATCCGGCAACCCGCGCGATCTGGCAAGCGCCCAGCGGCGCAGTACATTGGCGGGCGGCATTCTGCGTCGGACGGGCCAGTCGCGGCGCTTCCTGCCGGCTCCCTCCTGCCCATGCAGCGACTGCAGCGGTGGCTGCCAGGGAAATTCACGAGTGCGCTTCTTGGCCCCTCGAAATCATACTTACCTGACCGGAGCGTGACCGCGATCATGAAGGCGGTCCGCTTACTGGCAGTTGCCCACCTTGCACTTCGTGGGCGGCTCCAGTAGGGGTAGTCCAAGTGGCTATTCCCACGGTGAAATTTTTGGTAGGCTGAGGTTGGCGTTCACCGCCCCTCGGCGCCTTCTGCCGCCGCGGGGCCGCCCATGGAACTTTTTCCGCGCTGCCTGCGCCGATTCGTTACTTGACAAGCGGCGCGTACTTTGTGAGTCAGAACGGCGGGGTCAGCTCTGTTGGCGTGCTATTCTTTCGCCTTTTACTAAAGAATACCGAGCGTTGACCCCACAACGCCGTATACTTAAATTTTTGAAGGTGCCTTTGCGCACCCCACCCCCGCAAACGTCGCCCATGGCCTTTTGCGCGCATTGGCGGCATCCAGATTGTATAGATTAGGCGCCCGTGTCATTAAGAGCATACCTTTCTCGGCCTTTTGGCTAAGATCAAGTGTAGTATCTGTTCTTATCAGTTTAATAGCTGATACGGGGACCAAGTGTCCCCATGCTATTAATCTAATTTTTCTGGGGGTGGGGGGTTTCAGAATGCTCGCATTCTCCCCCCACGGCATGGTCCGGGCATTGCACAACCGCCCGGAACGTGCAACCCATACAAACCCGTTCCGAATTCGCCCATGGACAGATGCGGGCGGTGA